CGGGCTCTCTAGTGTAGTTGGCTAAACCAGATTGCGCAGTGACCAGGTGACGAACTCCTTGTGGTCCGGGTTCACTCCCGGGGTAGGCAGAAAAGCCACATTTTTCCCAGATTTAGGGTATTTACAATGGAATCAAGGCCAAAAGGTTGCGATATCCATAATACCGAGCCTAAGGGTTAACAAATCATGGCTTCTGGATACTAAAACAAACAAACAAACTAAACCTTGGACAGCCACTCCTTTTATCCTCCCTCTTCCTCTATGTTCACCCTTAAAAAAGTGATTAGCATACTGTATTGTGGTTCACAGCCAGGATGTGTTATCTGCACTTTTTTGGTCGAACATAACAGATGTAAGCAATCCTAAAATAGTCAATTTTTATGACATGCTTGTTGACTATTCAAATCTAAAGCAGTTGTTACTTTAACTCCTCCTATCGCAAAATGTTTAGCTTAACAGCAGTAAATAGTTTGGTCCTAAGGAATCAACATAGAAAATATGAGATGTAAAAAGTTAAACAAGTAATCTAGACAATAAGCATTGATATAACACAGATCTGTGACAGAAGACAGCTGGTAAATTATATCATCTTGGCTTGCTGTCTTGTATCACAGAATAGTGTTATATCAAACCTTATTGTCTAGATTACTAGTAAATATATATTTTCTTTGTAAAAATGCACAAGACCCCATCAGCAGACTCAACAGAAAGCAACCTAAAAAAATTTTCTGTCTACGAACAGGACACTGCCAGCTCAATTATCATATGCATAAAATAAAGACTGTACAGTCCCCACAATATGCCTGTCAGACGGGACCACAAACACATGAGCACATTCTACAAACCTGTCCACTCTACCTACAACTTTGAAAAGAAACCTGGTCTTAACAGCAAAGTGTACAGAGCAATCTATGGGGAACCAGAAGCATGTAGCACCTGCAGCTGACATGCGAATATATAGAGGCAATTCACCTGATTATCTGACCTGAGCATATGAAACCGATCACAAAGAAGAAGAAGAAGAAGAAGAAGAAGAAGAAGAAGAAGAAGAAGAAGAAGAAGAAGAAGAAGAAGAAGAAGAAGAAGAAGAAGAAAAATAAGAAGAAAAAGAAGAAGGAGAAGAAGAAGAAATATTATCTTTGGAATGATTCAGTATCACGTAGTGATGTGTTTGAGACTGAAAGAGGTAAGGAGCAGTGGGTTCCATTTTTTCTTTTTACTGAAAGTATGGGGCCCCAGAATCCAGATGGGGATCGATTTGATCTAATATTATAACAAAAATTGCTCTCAAACATTATTTCACCTAACTACTGTTTCTGATTAACTCATTAAAAAAACAAGTTAACCCCCCCCCCCCCCCCCCCCCCCCCCCCCCCCGTCCCCTTTTCCCAAAACAAAGAAAACACATTCTTGTAGCATGTTGCAATTGAAAAGAGAGACACTGGTGAACTTCCTGATGATTGAAAAATCAATAGTAGAAGTGACAGAAGCAGACAGAGATGCTGCCATAGGCTAAAGCCATGCCATGGTGGAATATCAGTAGAATTGATTCAAAATACCAGGACCAAGTTTTCTGGTTGGGGGAACACAGAGGGATAGTAAATTAGTAATACAAATTTTTTTACAAACAGCCAAACAGCTAGCAAAAGCCAACATAAATTGTATGTAATGTAAAACTTTTCTTTTTTCCCCATGTGGGTTCCAGGGCTCCACTACCCTCCTCCTAACAAGAATATCATAAAAGTCAACAAATTAGGGGTATTTCTTTCAAAGTTAGGAGTGTGTCTGTCAGAGGGGTAGAGAATAACAGTCTGCTTACAAATAAGCCAGACCTGTAAAACAGGTGTGCATGCAAAACTCAAGTTCTGGAATAAGACCAAAGTCAAGAAGTGGACAAACCCCCCAAAAAAAAGTTTCTACTGGATTTTATAGCCAATGAATGTGAAGAAGAAGAAAAAAACAAAGTATCTGAATGTTGAAGTATTTTCAATGGTAATTCCAAATGAATAATGTTCAGTATCAAACAAATAGAACTACTAAACAATTACTAATACCATATAAACAATAATAAATTTATGCCTATGCAGAATAGAAAGACTAACTTTATTTGACAGTTACCAGCTAGTAGCTTAATTGAAGATAAAACAAGTTTCAGTAAAACAAGCAGTCAACAAGAAGCTGGCATAGGCTTTTTTTTTTCTTTTAAAGTTTATAAAAAGTAGAAATGTTCTTTCTACGAAATCCTCAGGTCAATATATATAGAAGGAGACTTAAAACATTAGCAAAAAAGAATAAAAATCAGTGATGAATAATACTGTGAGGACATGGACAGATATTTTTAAAGATACAATTCAATTAAAGGGCTGGAAGAAAGATGACTGACTGTAGCTCTAATGATGGATCAGGGCAGGAAAAAAAATGCTAAAAATTACACAGCATGTTTTATTTTATTCTTGTATTTTCTGCGACTCTCAATTCCTATAGAGAAGTTAAAGAATCCACATTACATTACCCAATAGCTACACCATGATCCAGTGTGTTTTCCAATGTGCATCGGGCAGCCTGGATAAATGAGAACAATGTTTACAGTAAATGACCCTCACTTTATAGCAACAACATTAGCTTAGGTGTTGCGAGTCCAACTCGTAATTTCAACATACCGCAATCAAAATCCACTGCTGGCTGCATGGATTTTTATCATGGTATGGGGCGTCACAAGTCGACCCAGCCAAAAATTGGTACCAGGATGTATGTCCTGGGGAAGTAAAGATGGCTGGCGTAATGATGACCACATTACCCACCTAGTGCCGATTGGTCTGTAAAAATATGAGATGCTCTTCCCATTCGCCCGATGCGCCTAAGGTGTGAAAACGGATCTTTACTTTTACTTTTACCCTCTGTTTATATAATGTTCTTGTTTAAACTGAAATACTTCTTACCCTCCAACTTCCCAGAGATTTTCAAATTGATTCAGTAAAAAGATTTTTATTTGTTTCTTTTTTGGTTGGTGTTGTATCATTTTGGCCCCCAAGTAAACTCAACTGAATGGTCTAGCCTTATATGCCTGAAGGCGTGGAAAAGGGTCCTTTACTTTTACTGAAAGATTTACGGTCGAGAGCAGGAGAAGAAGAGTATAAGTTCAATGAAAATCAAAGGCTAACAATCACAAAGTTATTGATTACAGCCTTTCTGTCCCTAATCAAAACCACACACTGGCGCACGTGCTTGCAAGTAACAAGTAAACACAACCCGCTGGTCATTTTGATTTTGTTGCTGTGTCTAGCTACATTATTAACTCTTTAATACCATAAGTTCCAGAAGCACACAAAAACTTGCTACTGTCAATTTCAGATGGTGCATGTTCTAAATCAGTGGTTCCCAAACTTCCTAATGCAGCAGCCCTTAAATACAGTTTCTAGTATTGTGGCGAACCCAACGATACAATTATTTTCGTTGCTACTTCATAACGTCCATAATTATGTGTTTTCCGATGGTCTTAGGACACTCCTGTGAAATCATCATTCGACCTAAAAAAGGGTCGTGACCCACAGGCTGAGAACCGCTGCTCTACATAAAGCTCATAGATATTGTTTATTCAGTTCTTTTGAACTTTAGAGGAACAATACATCAAATTTCATGAATAGCTCTTAATTTGTGTTTGACAGCTAGACATTTACTTGAAAATGTTGTGTCATAATTATCAGAAAGTTCACATTCCACATGTACATGAGGTGGTCAAGCCAATTGCCTCATGCTCTGAGTTTCATGAGTTTATTTCACCGCTGTGTAGTTCAGTTTACCAGTGCAGTTTTTACGGAGATCCCTCGGAATTGCTGCCAGAGCTACAGACTTTGTGCATTATGTGATGCTTCAGTAGACAGATAGTTCTGCAGAGAGAGAGAGAGACTGTGCTATATGTGTTAAAACCCAGTGCAATAAAGACGATCCTTTTGACTTTAACATTAACAGAGTCATTAAAGTGAAATTCATGTGACCATCAAAATAATTACCTATACAGTGATTTAGTCTAAGGTCAGAACAGTCCAAGCTAAATTTTCATTTGTGTACAGCATTCTTCCATGACAATGTATGGCTCCTGCGAATATTCAATGTTATTCAAATGGTATTTAAGAGTTCATCTTCAGAGAAGCACTGCAATTAGGAAGAAATATGAAATTCACAGATCATAACTTAGTGACTAGTATGGATAAAGGTCTGTACTGGTACAGAAATAGCCGACTTCTCTGCTGAAATGTCTACTATATGATAGCCATGACTTTACAGTAAGATAGCTGGGGACGTTCTAAAATACATGTCGGTGAGAAGGCCAAAAGTGCTGCACTGAATTCCATCCAAGAAATCAAAAATATTGCACAGGATAGGATGGAACGGATGAATTACTGCAATCCCTATGTGACCAATAATGGCATAACAGGACAGAGTTGAGTTGAGTTAAGAATTGACATCACAGCACTCAAGGCATTCCCATGCATGCTCCATCCTCATCTTCATTAGCCAGCGCAGAGTTCCAATACTGATGGTGCTGGTCACAATCTGGTTATAAGTCCATCTTGCCTTTCCTCTGGGTGTAGTGAGCCGGCCAGACCCTCTAGTTACAACCAGATGCCTCATTCTCTTCAGGCCAAATAATCTTCTATCTCTACCGATTCTGTTGCTTGTTCCCAAAAGGCCTTGACCACATCAACTTTGTCATGAATCAATTCACCACCCAGCGGTGCAGATCCAGCGAATCTGTCTGCCTGTTCATTACACACCACGCCGGCATGGCCTGGAGAAAAGATGCCAAGTATGCTCACTACCCCTGACTTTCCATGAAGCTTGCCACGCTGCTTGAAGCATCCCTGTCTTCTTCTTTCACCACAGGACAATGATGATGATGATGTCTGGCATAATAAGGCATATTCTTTTCATTAAACCTCTGATTAGACAAAATAGTAATTGTTTAGCAAGACATATATCAGTACAACATTAATACTCACCAAAATATCCCCTTTTCTAATGGTCATTTGGTTTGTTGCATTGTAGAACATCTGTAAGAAAACAGAACATTTGAATATGCACCTAATGTTTAATCTGTATTGTCTAAAATATAAACGGAAATGTTATGGGAATTAAAGGCACCTTGACTGATATTAACCACAACATCTGTCAAGCTGTAAGCTGATTTATAAAAAAACATCATCATGTAGCAGGTCCTTTGCAGAACGTCGCTCTCATCACAGTTTGCCTGAAAGAAACTTGGTCTCACGCCCTCTCTACAGCCTCGTGTACTTACATATTCAAGGAGTCACTTAAAACCTGTGCCCATCTTTGTGTTGGTCGGCCCCTGCCCCTCCTTCCTGGTACCATGCCTTCTGCTATTATCTTTTCCAGTCCACTATAACACTTGAAATGACCAAAATATTTCAGCTTTCAACACAAGATGCTGTTTATCACATCTTTTAAAATGTCAGTATTTCTTCTCTTCTTTGTGCATGGTTTTCTAAGAATCTTTCCATAGCATTTCAGCTCTATAAAAATATGGGGCTAATAACATTCACCCAATCTTCAGACCAATCCATATAAATCTCTTACGCCAACACAGTTAAGTCACCTGGATGTAAAGCTAGACGAAGCGCATAACATAACAGATGATTATGTCTGCAAAATATAAACAATATTCTTTACCTCAGGCAGTCTTGGATCTTTCCGACCAATCTCTGTCCATTCACCATCACGGATGCGGTAACCCGAGATAACACGACCTAAGGTTAAAAACAAAAATACCTATAGAGCTCCAAACAATCTAGAGCTTTAAGTGTTTAATGTTTGTAATTATTTAGCAAGATGGTTTATTTATTGCAACATATACTTCAAGTTTCAAAATGACAAGATGTAAATTCATTTAGGGATTTTCAGAATTCTGTGAATGTTATATTCTTACATCTTTTCCTAAACATAATTCCTGGTTTTCTTAGACGGTAGCAAAAACATATGGACCTCCTTACATTAGACAATATATAGTGTATACAAATAAGAGAAGGACATTATAAATTGACCCGTTGCACTGTTTAAAAACAATACTCCTGGCCATCTTGGCTGGCAAGAACAGTATCCACTATGCTGCCACAGGACAGTTCTCCTTGAAATTCTCATCACATGATTTTTTTTTTATTTCTTTTTATTTGCAGAAACTAACAATATATAGTGTATAAAAATGAGAAAAGGACATTACTAACTGATGAGTTGCACTGTTAAAAACAATACTCCTGGCCATCTTGGCTGGCAAGAACAGTATCCACTATTCTGCCACAGGACAGTTCTCCTTGAAATTCTCATCACAGGATTTTTTTTTTTTTAATTTGCAGAAAACTAACTGTTGCATCCATCTCTGTATTCGCTGTCAAGAATGAAAACTGCCTGACGGTACTGATTCTCTGTATATGGTTCATGTTAGTCCATTCTTTCATTTTACTGTGATCTTCTCTTCATAGTATGCACTTAGAATTCTATGAGTATGCAATGAATTTAAAAAAAAACTATTAAAAAAATTAAAAAATAAAAATAAATGCACAACAATTGAAGCTATAACTTTAGTTGTTATAATAAATGGCATGAAAATGCATACAGAAGCAGTCAAGTGCGAAACCTTGATACACTTTTAAAGCTACATTACTAAGGGACAGGACTGCAACTTTCTGTGACCACATTGCAGTAGGACAGCATTTAACTCTAATTTAAAGTCTTAGATGAATAAAAATTATTAGCTTTGATAAAACCAGATGAATTATTTGAATCTTTTAACAATTATTTAAGTAAACTCACCTAATGCATGGGCATGTGTTCTGTAAGCAAAAGGTACTATTTCTGCATCTTCATCAAAGTTGCAGGCAGTCTCAAAATATTCTAGACAGAAAAAGAAAGCAATTATAAATGTCGAACATTTATGGATTTTGATAATATTTATGTTCTTAACTAAATCATCATCATAAACCACTTCTGCCGTTAAGCGTCGTGGGGAGGAATAATTTGTGATCCAGTGCACGTTGGCTGTCACTGGCTATTGTCATGCCGTGAAAGGGTAGAGTGTCTTTAATGTTGTCAATCCATGTTTTCCGCTGCCGTCCTCTTGCTCTTGTAGCTGATCTTCTGAGATGTAGTGCTTGTGATGGTATTTGATCTTGCGGCATTCTAACAAGATGACCAAACCACTTAATCTGTTGTTTCTCGATGAATCTAGCACAAGGTGTCGTTCCCACAATTTGCCTGATAGTTTCATTATTCACTCGATCTCGGATGGTTAGGTTGGCTGCTTTTCTCAGGCACCTCATTAACTAAATAAAACACTTTATTCCTATCTGTAAATCGCAGTACAACACACCAACTGCCCCTATAAGGGGTGATTGCAGATTAAGAATTATTTCAGCTCATTCTATTAACATTTGTATTTATTCCATTTTCCAAAGTTATTTATTGCTCATCAGTCATCATCAGTTCTCATTATGCCTAGTGGCACATGAGGCTTCAGAGAGGACTTCCATGCTTTCCTGTCCTGTGCAATCTTCAGTGCAGTTTTCCATGTCAAAGATGCCGCACTCAGGTCACTTTCCATCGTTCGTCTCCATGTTGTTTGTGGGCGCCCTTGTTTTCTCTTTCCCTCTGGAGTCCATGTGAGAGCTGTTTTGGCAGGAATATCAGAAGTCATTCTCATAACGTGGCCAAGCCATTTCCATCGTATCTTGGTAATCATACTGTCTAAAGTTTCTTGGTTTGTGGCTTGAAGAAGTTTAGTGTTTGAGATTGTATCTGGCCAGACAATTTTTATAATTCTACATGGACATGTGTGGTGGAAGGTGGACAGCTTGTGTGCGTCCTTTTTTTGTCGTTCTCCAGCATTCCGCTCCATAAAGAAGAACTTATTTATTGCTCACTACAATATTTTATTGACATATTCAACATCAAATTCCAATACTTTTAGTTCTTGTTCTCAGACAAATTCTGTAATGTAAATGTTTTTAAAAATTTAGTAAATATTGGCAATTTTCTTGCCCAAGTATCTTTTCCACTTATTGTGGCTTAATTAGATAATTCAATTTTATTTCATGTTTCAGAGTGCATCTGTCTGGGAAGTGAAGAATCAACAGTCTATATACAAATAATGATCTGTAAAATGAATGTAAAAACTTAGGTACTGGAACTAAAGTCTTGAAGTTGATGAACAACCAGAACTTTCCACCAGAGTTAACAGCTGGTGAATGTGAAGAACAAGAGGAGGAGATCTCTTCAAATTCTTTTTAATAACTTACTAGTTTGAAGTTTTACAGTTTTGAACAATGGATGAACATCATGACACACGGGTGTAACCCATAAGTGCTCCATTCTTCTTCTAGCTCGAGTCTGAGTCTGAAGAAGCTTAGCACAATGCACAGGCTCTGTAGCATGGGCAAGGATCCTGAAATACTATGGGTAGATTTTTATCTCTAAATTTTGCTCGGGCAGCACCATTAGGCTACTCTTTTCGATTTCCAACTGCAAAGGAATTTTTTTACGTGCACAACAATGCACACGGGCTTCTGATCTCACTACCCAGAGACCAGGAGGAATTACTAGAAGTCCAAGTTCGCATGAAAAAAATCTCAGCACTTACCGGGGATTGAACCCCGAACCTCTAGCACTCGAGGCGGACACCATGCCTCAAGACCATGCAGCCACTTAATAACTTACTAAGTCACAGCCAGTGAACTTGAAAAAGAAGAAGAATAAGAAAGAAGAAGAAAATACTTATACAGAGTTTCTTTTAAATTGAAAATCTTAATTTTTCTTCTTCTTCTTCCTCTTCTTTTGCTTTTAAAAGAGTTGACACATTGTGTTGTTGTTTACAGCTAGACTGTGATCTCTGCACCTTTCATCCCAATGCATACAGTGTTAGAAAACCCCTGATTAGGTGCCTTTTATGACATTTTAGATGAGCAGTGGATTTTTCTGTCTCCCTCAACCCCACCACGTCCCCCAAGATAGGGCCCTGTAACTCAAATGAAGAACTTAATATAATGAAAACAAATGATAGAAAAGTTCATGTGAAACATGAGCTCTGCTTACCAATTGAATGAGCAGGAATGTAACCATCAGTGTCCATCAGGTAGACACCAGCTTGTTTTGAGGTTCTGAAACAAGGGTTAGAAAGAGTGTTTAGAGGTGAGAGAATAACTAAACCAGAATTGTTTCCCCATGGGTCATTCTCTGTCCTTAGGGCAGTCTTTATTCATAGGGCAACTGTTCACCTGCTGAAAGTGTAGCACAGCTCTAGAGCTTCAGTGATAACCACTAGAGAGTTCAAAAGAACTAGCCATCTGTTAAAAGCAGCACACAAAGCATGAACTCCATAGCTCTAGAAACAGGTATTCAGTTAATCACAGTTCCAGCTTCAAAGCTACGGGGTCAGCTCATAGCTGCTCTGTTCCTATGCCAGCAAAAACCATGCAGAATGTCCATCAATGTCTATAATGAGAAAGAAAATGACATGGACTGCAGTCTCAACAAAGCCAGTCTCATTTACATGTATTAAATCTCTGTCAGAAGTGCCAACACAGAAGGTCCAACACTAGAAAGGCAGTTTATCATCAATGGAAGTAGCAGTTACAAGACATCAGTAGGTGAATAAGCAATTAATAGCATGAGGAACGATTAGTTCTCTGACTCATAATACAAACCAAATTGAGCACAATAAAAAAAGCATTCCAAATGAAATCCAGAGCTTATAGTGTTGCTCCATGCTCTCAACTCAGTAGTTATGCAATGGAACTATATCCTTTCAGTCTACATATAGAGGAAAATGCAGTAGCTAAATACTGTCAGAAGCATTGACTTGCCATGACTAAAAATAAACCTACCTGTCTACCATACAGACTGTAAGTAAGAAAAAGAAGAAGATAGCGACAATCCCCAGGGATCTCTGTTAAAAATTTACCTTTGTGAAATAAACATCAATGCCATGAAATGAGCCAACAGCCTTCAGCAGCATGAGGCAAACATATGGAGTATCAACACACACACATACGAACCAGAAATATGCTATACAGGCAGTATGTCTCGGTCGTTACTATATTATTATTGCTTTAAGCATTTAATAAAGTCGACTTTAATTACTTTATTACTTAAAGCAATGAACACCATCACTGTATTAAATTTTAAGTTGTCTTTAATGTATCTTCTGACATATTTTCTCTTAGCTGAAAGCTGTGAATTTACTCGCCTGTTAACACATTGATCCTGGGCTTCATAACCAGTGTCGCCATTCTGAATTTTTGTTTCTAACATGTTACTGTTTTGGATAAAATCTAATAAAATAAATATTAGCAAATTCTTTGGGGAAATTGCAGAACTGTACAAGTTCAGAGTGTGACTGTTTTTTGTTAAGACTGTGTATGAATAGAGGTGTTATTTTAGGCAAACAAAGAATTTGAAGATGTTATTTTTATTTTGTGTAACTAATATACATGGTCATAAGGCATAGGGAGTATATACACTTGCTAGTCTAATATTTTTAGCCAAAAATCACTCATTGAGTGCTGTTGTTACAATCATATCTGTTTCTGTTACTTCTATTTCACAGGAAATTTTTTCATATTCATTTGTAGGCTAAATAGAACTGAGGCTCTAGGCCGAAGAATTTAAAAAAATTTTCAAACATTTTCCTTTAATTCCAAGCTAGTAACTGGATGTATAGTCTTCTCACATAATGATATAAATTAGGAAGGCCCATGCACTTATTTAAATGACGTTTGCTCTGAGGTCAACCCATCCTTGATTGGGTACCAGGTGGAGTCCTGGAAAGTGAAGGTGACTAGCGTGATGTTGACAACATCACCACTGAGTGCCTTGATGTAGGTTTAGCACTAGATGCCCAATATGCCTTAAGGCGTGGACAAATTGTCTTTTACTTATTTACCTATGCATTTATTGAATATACATTGCTAACTATGTTAATTTCTGGGAAATAATATAGAGATAACATTAGATATAAATACTTACGGAACATTAGTTACTTGCAGTGTCAGACCAGAACTATCATCTCCATTTTCTAGAGATTACGGGTAGAGATAATAACGGTCATTAAGTGAACTAAGTATCCAGCATTAGATTAATATCTAAAAACTCAAATTACTATTTAATATTTAAAAAAAAATGACAAAGTGGTAAAAGAAATTTGAATTGCAGTAATGCACTGGCTGATTCACTTGTCTTTCTATCCATTAAGGTGGGGCTATTTCTTTTATTTGACCATACACTGCCATGTTGACACAATAGCAACAAAAGCATACTGATGATTTGGGGCCAAAGTGTAAGAAGTCAGCCTATAAATTACAGAGCATGACAGAAATGAATGACAGAAAAGTGGTTGCCTTTCATCAAAATTTCAGATTCTACATGTGGAAAAATTCTAATGAGTGGCTATGTCATGTGTCCTGGGGCAGGAGCCTGTCCTATTACTGGCAGATGCTGGAATGGCCTCAATATATATATATTGAATAAGCGGCCCTGGCCAAAACAGGTAGTGATCACTGAGGGAAAACAAGAGGTAGGACAGCTATATCTAAAAAATACCTCAAAACTCTGTGATATGGCCATCAGTGAGTAAGAGGCTCCATTATAACCTCTTCCCCCTGCTGCCTTGAATGGTATGTCTCTTTAAAAGAAAGGCTATTGGAGAAGAATGTTAGTATTTTGCATTCAATAAAATATAAAATAGAAAGGAACATCCATTAGAGAAGCATGGGTTAGTCTCTTCCCTGGTGGCCAGTTAATGCAGTTTACTAGTAGGTTTGTAGGTGAAGCACAAAAAATATGTGCAACTGTGTAAGATAAGATCATTCACATAGCTGAGGCAAATGTGATTAATAGTTTAATTGTTAAGTTACTAATAAGATTTGATAATTTTAAACTATTTTATCATTCAACATAATTCATTTAAAGCTTCAATGATAACAACACTGTCCAAGAACATAACAATCTCATATGTTTGACCACATGGGTATACACTCCCCCCAGTAATATCATTTATTCTGTTTTACTGAAAATGTATTATAACATCAGCTTATAGTTCATTTAATGCTCATTGTATCCAATGTTCATTTTATCTTACAATCTACTTCTATTTTCTATGCTACAGATGCAATTAAGAACGTTTCTATAATGCCTGCACAATAAGTAACCATAAAATAAACATATGCTAACCCAAGTGAATTGAGTGGAGCTAAGAACTGGCAGTATTCAGGACATTCCCTTAAGTGCTACATCCTCACCTTCAGCATCCAGCAAAGAGTTAAATGCTGATGGTACCAGTAGCAGTCTGATTATATCTCAGTCTTGGGCTATCCTCCGAATAACGGGCGGTAAAGATGGTGGCCGCAAAATATCATGGCGAGCCACAATCATGTGTCAATTGCGCACTAGCGGTCACGAGCACATGGCGGGAAAACTAGGATTAGTGCCTGTTGACAATTTCAAGAAACGGAACAAACCGCCGAAAGTCTACACGCGGCACGGATGAGTTTTAACTAGATGGCTGGGACCCACAAGCAGCAGCTTCAGCATCTCCTGCAGCTTTGCTCGTGGGTCCTAGCCATCTAGTTTAGCCCCATCCACACCGCATGAGCGGCGTGGGGCCACTCTCGGTGGTGGTGGTAGTCGCCAGAAAAGCAATTGACACATGACTGAGGCCCTGTTTTTGGCCGCCATTGGCCAGCATCTTTTGTGCTCGTTATTCGGAGGATAGCCGATTCGTGAATGCTACTGAAGAGAAAGCTGCGTTACCAATGTGGTACGAGCCGCGCCTTGTTCTGATCGTACTTAGCCGAGTTTCAATGGCGTAATAGGCACAAACAGCAGATTTTCGGGCACTATTTACAACTTCTGTGCCATAATTTGCAGATATAAAGGCATAAAATTATCGGTAAGTAGTCGATTTGATATAACATTCTTTTCGTTCCTTATTAGTTTTTAACTTCAATTTTTGAATGTATACAGCACATGACACGTGACTGTGGCTCGTCAGGATATTTTGCGGCCGCCATCTTTACCGCCCGTTATTCGGAGGATAGCCCAGTCTTGTCTTTCCTCTATGTAGAGTGTCGACCCAATCCCCTGGTCTCTGCACACTTCATAATTCTCTCCACACCATAATTATTTATTCACACTTGCACATTGTTTGCTTGCTTCCAAAGGGCCTTGCTCCCATCTAACTTATCATTCATCAGTTCACTGGTCAGTGGCCCCGTACCAGTAAAATGCTTATTTCCTAACACATCTGCACACCTCAGGGACAAGACAGATTCAAAGGATGCTGACTACTATTACCCTCTGAATCAATGCCAGCCATTCTGTAAAGAACATGTCTATTTCCACCTTTTACAGCCTGCTGAACAAATTTTTGTGTGTGAGTAACTAACAAGCCTGTCTATTAATATTTGCTGAGGTTGCATAGCTACTACTGTTCTGCATTTAGTTCAATGTTTAAGCTCAACAAGTAACAAACCAAACTGCCCTTGTTATAGTTAGTTAACATTTTATCTCCAGCAAACTTACGAGGGGAGAGAAACTTGGTCACATTTTTGTAGTGCACCTGCAAAACTAAGTATTTGATTGGTGTATCCTGCCCCACCTCAAAGCTAACATCTGTGGAGAAAATGGTCATAAGAAATAAGCTTTTAACATTTTTCTTGGTAATGGTAATTACAAAATGAAAGAAAACACACAAATTACTAGCACAATTTGACTTGATGCAAGCTTAATTATAGAAAAATTATCCTCTATGATAGTAAAACCAGGCTTTACATTACCTGCATCACAATACAAGTAAAATGTAGTAACATCAACCTCCTTCTTCTTCTTTAAAGTCCATGCCGTGTGGTGTTGGTAGTCATGTCTATTCACAACCTCCTGTCTCATATACTTTCAGTCAACTCGTAACACAGATGATCCTCTATGCCATGATCATCACTTTACCTCTGCAAGGCAGACGCTGCATACATAAGCATAATGGCTAGCATAACCCTTCCTGTATGGGCACTGATCGCAGAAAACAATTGCAACCTACTGTGAGTATTTTGCAAAGAAAGGTCATGTCTGTACAACTGATAAACGCAAAACAGAGTTAATGTGAGTTCAAAAACTGCATCGTCTGGAAGGTGCATGAATGTGCCATAGGTGCAGCCATACCGTCGTCCGGTTATTGTACGCAAACTAAAGAATGAGACATTAGACATTGGAACATCAACCTACAAAGCATTTTATCCTCATCATCATTGTCCTGTTGTGTCGTCATGTCACATATGGCTATTCCTTCATTTAATTTAACTTTTTTCCTGTGTAATCTATCATGGATGTAATCCATTTCAACACCCCTGTCCTCTCTCATAACATTTGATTCATGGTTTCTATTCGTCGTTCTTGCATCTTCAGTCCCTCTATTTCCCATTCCAGTGCCTTTCTGGTCATCCTCTGCTAATTTTGTTCTTAATATAGTGTCATCTTCTTTTTCTTATAACTGTTTTTACCAGTGGTAGCCCAGATATGTCTGTTAATTCTTCACGCCTCTTGAATTGTTCCAAATTAAACAGTTTCCTCAGGCATGTGTTCCTAAATGTATTTAACTTTTGTTCCTTGTCATATATGCGTATAAGTATGTAAGTAAAAGACCCTTGCCATGCCTTTAGGGGTATTGGGCTTATAGGGCTAAACTTATATTTTATAGACCAATTGACACTTGGTGGGTGATATATACATATAGTAAAAAAGTCAACAAGAAGGGCTGACATGAGACTGGACATCTAACCCTAGAGAAAACTGTGGCTGCAAAGTCCAAATGTAATGGGAGCTGCAGTTTGTTCTAGTGACAGGTACATTTTGTTGGCTAATTTAAGTAATCAGGCTGTCAGGTCATCAGTTGCTTGGTTTTTTTCCATGCTCTGCATGCATATAAGGGTAGTTTTGCAGGTTCCATTCTCAGGTGGCTCAATCAGCTTTCTTTTTGTTTCTTTCTATTTAATACATGCACAGTATTTCTTCTATTTCATTCTACTTATCTGATGTCATTATTTCTTAGTCTGCCTCTTCTTAGGTATCTCTTTCCAAATAAGATATTTCTCTCTTGTGCCTTGTCTAGCTGATAATTCATTGATTTAATCTTCTACATCTTATTTCAATATCAATGTCATGTCCTTCATTCTTTGTAAAAAATACTCCCCTAGCATTATATGAGACTGACTTCTTTTTTCTTCTTTCGTTCGCTTGAAATAGATTATCTATATCTGCAATGTTGTCTCTAGTATGAACTTCACTGTCTTTTGTAATTCACTTAGTGACCTGTTAAGTTTGACTTGCACTGATGTTTCTCTTTGCCAAAAGTTTTGCCTTGATAGGTTGTATTTGGGACAGTCTTTGAGGACAAGTTCTGTTGTCTCAGGTGCCATTCCACATGTACACATGGCTGATTCAACAATTTTAAATAGTGTGTGTACATGTGACTGTATCCTGTTCTAAGGCGTAGAATAATAACTTGCTCTGGTTTGTCCATAAAATTGTAATCGTCTTGTGCTGGTTTTGGTGGCTTTCTGATTGATTTGATACTGATTTACTAAATTTTGAATTGTAAATATGAATATGAAATGGGCTAGATTATCCGGTGATCTTCAAGTTTCTGCTTAAAATATTATGATTTTCTTATGGTTTTTTCCGAAGTGGCATAATAAGTGTTACCAATTTTTGTAAGATCACTGTATTAAGTTCATATTTCAAGGTGTTCATGAAAGTACATCAGTATTTACAGCTAGTAATTTATATATATATATATATATATATATATATATATATATATATATATATATATATATATATATATATATATATATATATATATATATATATATATACACACACACACACACATACAGAAACACACATGCACACACACATACATATACATATATTTTCTCTTGCTGCCATTGCGATGGTTCTAATTTTTTTTATTTTTTTTTTTATTTAACACCAGTATAACCTTAAATTAAATCTTTGTTTTTACTGAACATTTGATCTCAGCTGTGCATAAAGATCAAAAAGAGATGGAAATCATGAATCAATCATCACAAAACTTCCCTCCATTAATCTCTTATGAGAAGTTGAATACACAGTTTGACTATAAACAAACATATAATTTAGTTTAATAATATCATCATATTAAACTTCCCCATGTGAATTATTGAGCTCCATTACGAAGAACAAAGAACAGGCCCACTGTCTCCCCCCACCCCCAACACCCATTAATTGTGTCATAGGAGACCACTAATTATAAATGTTTCCATTCAAAGTTGGAATGCAGCAGCCTGAAAGGCAAGGAACCAACAGTCTGCATATAAATAAACCAGATCTTTAAAATGGATGTGCATGCAATATTCAGAAGTTCAGAAGTGGATGACAACCAAAACTGTCTGCCAGAGCTTACAGTGAACTCTAAGAAAAAGAAGATCATGCAAAACTGAATCTATTTCACACAGTGGCCTTTAACTAAAGAAAATTATGATGAAGACATAAATATTTCTAGAAACTCATGAACTCTTAATCTTTAGACTTTTTTCAGCTGATATTTTAATCTTTGTATTTTAGTAAGTGTATCTTCATTTATTTTTTATTAATCTTTATTACCTTCTTTTTATTTTTATTTTAGTAAGTGTAACTTAGTTATGAACTTTTTATTAATCTTTTATTACCTTCAGGAAGATTGAGGCGAGGAGCTTCCATTGCCCAGGCATATAGGATGTTGGTTCCTTCTTGACATACAGAACCATGCATATAGCTTGAAGTCGATGCTGACATCTCACCACAGTCCCTGCAAAAGACATAATATTTCTTTTTCATGTAAAATGTTTCAGGAAAGCAAAACAAACACTCGCACAAATTTATAAAGCCTGCATACAAGTCTGACTGTGTCTTCAGCTTGTGCCATCCAAGACCTTCCTCTTTTCAGTCTGTGACCCTTAGCTCTACCCAGGGCTTAATACAGGAGGTACTACTTGTCTGCAGCTACTCTGAGATATGACTTTGCCTGCAGAACGTTGAGCCTATCTGCAATAGTAGGCAGTGCAAGTATATATCGCATACATTGAGGTATCTCTTGTACATCCCAGAATTACCCGCATGGCTTCATTCTGTATGCGTTCAACTTTGATCAGTTGAATCTTTGATATGGTAAGCATTCCAAGTCCATAATCTATCACCAACAGGATCACATGCTGGAACACTGTGAGCCTACAAACACATGGAATTACCAACCGGACAGAGAAGGTCAATCACTGAAATGAGTGAAAGTGGGCGATAGCTACAGCAGTGAAACTCAAAGGCCCAGAATACATAGGAAGACAATTATATACCTTTGGGTAGCATCTGTTTGGTGCAAAAAGCCACTGTTTTTGCATTGGTTACATTTATACTTTGCTTTAAACAGTTTTATTCACACAGTAGTTAGTGGCAAAGAAAAATATATTTACTTGTGCTGACTGACAATCACAGAAGTAGAAGAAAGAAATACAAATTAGAGGACTCACTAGGCAACACAAATTTGAAAGCTATAGTTACCACACAATAATTTCAAATATTGCCTCCAAATTATGGCAGCACCTCTTAGTAGGAACAAGTTTGGGAATTAGCAACATGACACTACTAAAATATTGGTGTCTTCATTCGCCAGGTCTTCTTCTGCATTCATCCGAAGATGTAACAGCTTTGTGTCCATTTACAGAATGGCTGTGATATTTGCCCCTTTCTGCTGACACATCCAGCTTCTGCCCGCATTTGTTGACCCGGTTAGCATTTCCCTCATTAGCCAAATCTATTACCCACTTGGGCACCTAACTATAGAATATGAACAGTGACAAAGCACATTTCCATGGAGTTTTGTCATTCTGAACTTTTAATGGTGTACCATTACATTCATCCCCAGTTGTCTTCATTCAACTTATTCTCCCCTTACCCTCCCCACCCCCTCCGCCCCCATCACAATGGACCCCAGAATGCACACTGAGACATTCTTAATTGCATTCCTCATATTCTTGCTCTGAAGAAAATATATTCACACTTTAATGCAAATATTCCCAGCATGAGTTCCGGGCTCCATTGGTGGGGAGGGGGATCAGAAAAGACATGCAGAACTCAAGTTCTGGAACAAGAACAAAGTCCAGAAGGAAATAAACAAGAACTTTCTGCAGGAGTTAGCAGCTGCTGAACGCAAAGATGAAGAACTATGCATATATAACATAATGAACTCTTTCAGTTATGTACAATTATTATTTTAACTGATTTTATCTGGAGCATTAAATAAACTACGCATTTCTGGGTCTAAAGGCATTCAAATAATAACCATATTGAGAACGTTTAAAGTAAAATAGGATCATACATACTGAAATTCAAGACGTGTTATAATGTTTGTAGGAAACAAGTTAAGGACCCTTCTACTCCAGCTGCACTTCAGGCATTTGGTTCTAGACTCTTAGTTTTACAGACCAACTGGCAATATGTTGATGATGTTGTCAACAGTAGCCTGGTTGCACTTTCTTCCTAGTACATAAACTTGGTGCAAATATTAGGCTGGGTCAACCTGAGAGCCAAATTCAATTAAAAAAAAAAATGTATGTCTCATTGTAAACTAAACCCAAGATCTTCTGGCCAGCAATTGAATGTCTAGCCACAATTCTACGATGTCTCCCAATCATGAATGGGATTAGCAATAAAAATGCAGTGAGTTAAGTGACACTGAATAAGTTATGAACCATGAGACTTACCAAACTTCCCCTTCGGTAGCTCCTGGCACCAAACAGCCATACAACAAAATATGATGTGCTATTGTGGAGTCAGCTTTTGGGATATAACCCCCTGGCAGTAGAGATAAATTGGCAACTATAAGTGTCTTTTACCAAAAGTGAAAATGTGGAAAATGCAGGTCCTTTACAGAACCCCACTCTGATCATGGTCTGCCTGAAAGAAACTTGGTCTCCCGCCAGCTCTTCTGACTAGTGTACTTTCCTACCTCAGGCGTCACTTATTTCCTGTACCCATCTTCCTGCTGGTTGGCCCCTCACCTCTTTCCTGGTAATCTGCCTTCAGTTATTATTATATCCAGTGCTTGTTTCTTCTTTTGTGCCGTAAGCATCACACAGAGCAGCTGTATGTAGTTTCCTGTTTTTTGCTAGTTGTGTAGCTCATGTTAATGTCATAATTAAGTTTCTGAAGTGTTGCTTTTACTCCCTTCCTCCATGTCTTTTTTGGTTTGTCTCTTGCAGTGCTGCCTGCATTTCTCATGTAGTGAGCTTAATATGGTCAAAATATTTTTGTTCCCAGACAAGATGTTGTTTACTAGCTAATATTCCTTGATGTTCAACACTGAAATACAACGATACAGACATGTTATAAGAGCTTGTGGCCTCATTACTATTATACAACAAAGCTTGGTTCAGGGTAAGAGGAGATGAGCCAGGCCAAGGAAATAAAAACTGGCTGCAAAATCTGGCTGAGTGGAAGACCATAAAATATGCAAACATCAAGTCATGTGTAATTGACTGTCAGAGGTTTTAGGATCTGATCAGAGAGTCAATACCATCTGGTGACCCAACAATGTCAGAGACCTGCTTACTGCCGTCTCTGACCAAACCCACGAAACACGGTTTTTCCATCACTTTTGGCCAGTCCCCAGCTCACTGCCGCTCCTGAGAACCATGTGGACCCAGAAGTGATTAGTTCATCTGTCACGCTAGTCTGGTCAAAGTCGCTGTGGGCTGTTGAACCCGCTAAACGGTCAACTAAATTCTAGTCCACTATTCAACATTAACATACACCGCCATCTCATGGCCACGGAGGATCCTGACAAACAACAGGAGGTGTGATGGGAATTATTTATGATGACGATGAGTAGAAGAACAAGTTTTGTTATTACAACCTCAATATGACTTTTATTTTGAAGTCTGTATTCTCCTTTCTGGTTGGACACTGAATACACTTTTCATACCTACTCAGTGCAAATATTGTAAATGTAGTGCAGTTAAAATTAAAATAAAATGAAATAAACAAAATTCACTTCCCCAGTGTGAATAAATTTATTATAAACTGAATACAAATTCCTATTTAAATAACGGGAAGTAATTTTTACATTTTATTTCATTCAATGTAAAATACTAAATTTAAAAAATGCTTGAAAAAAAGATGAAAATTACTCTCCGAATAAAGATGGTTATTATACTATAATTTATAAACATAAATAACGTTTACGTGAACATAAATATGAGTTGTTTTAATTGTTTAAAACATGTCACAACATTGATGACTTACTTATATACATGTGGGCGTCCTCAACTCTGGTGGCTCTGCACAAATATGTGTCTGGCTAGAAGACATCAATAATTGGGATCTCAGAACTAATAAATGTGAATTGCAACAAAATCTATAAAGCAGTAAAGTTAAAAAAGGCAATACAATAGCAGATACTGTATCTAAGCTGTTTTAACACATTTGCATATGCTGTATGACATGCATGGCAACTCCATTCCCACATGTCTGTTTATCTATGTGAATGATCTGTCTATCTGACTACGAGACAGATTTGTCTGTTATCTACTCTACCAGCCTATCTACTTTTCAGTCAACCAACATATATATTTGTCTATAGGAAATTTCTCCACTATTCAGTCCAAAATTACACTGACCATATTTTACCAACTATGTTACATAATTGTCTTCCTCCTCACTAGAAACTAGTGTGTCCACACCATGCATGCATGCACCAGCAACCACCCACACAGACACACATGCATGCACACACACGTGCACACATACAAAAATAACAGATACAATATTTCACATTTTCTGCATCTCCAACAGGAAGAATTAACAAATAATCATTCATTATAGGCAATCTATCTCTCAGTTTCTAATACCCCTCCCCTCAAACTCCCCCCCCCCCCCTCTCCCCGACCTTTTCTCCCCATTACAAGAAGGTTTTTTTAACAATACTCTGCCTTTTTTTTTTTTTTTAGAATGCAGACCTGCTTCACCTGAGTTGTCCCCTCTAGAGGCACAACCACTCGACCTTATCATTTCTATGAACACTAGCATGCCCTGTACAGACAGTAACTTCAGCTCTCCTAAGCAGGGCTTTTTTTTTCTCCATGGTGGTGTGCAGTACTGGCACCTTTTTATGCATCATGTTTTCAGCACTAATATAATAAAACACTTTGTGATAAGTACATAAACATTTTTTTTAAATAGCCGCTTTAATGTGAGAACTGGCATAATGTTTCTAGAGGAAAAGCTCTGCTCATTACTACTATGCCATTGAATGTGTTTCTGGGTCAGTGATTACTGCAACAAAAGAAACATCCAGATGAAATCTACAAGAGTGTTGACTGTTAGTTATGCTGCCTTATTTATTACCTATACAACGAAAATATAGAAAAAAAAATAAAATATACTTTGCCTTTCACCATCTGCTAAAGTCAAAGTCTTGCAACACCAAGATCAAAATATATAAAACTTTGATAAGACCAGTCGTTTTATATGGCTCTGGAACTTGGAGCACAATTAAAAGAGATGAAGCCTTATTACAGGTTTTCAATAACAGAGTCTTATGACAAAGCTTTGGACCCATGAAAGATGTGAACAGCGGGTTATGGAGTGTGAGAAGCAACAACGATATTCATAATCTGTTTAAATCACCATTGATCACTGACATCATGAGAGCTAACAGACTGAAATGGCTGAGACATATTGAAAGAATGTCAGGTGACAGAGAAGTTAAAACTGTAAACACAAGGGAGATGAATGGTCGTAGACCACAAGGCAGACCAAGAACAAGAAGACAGACCTGCAAACACTTGGTGTCAACAACTGGAAAGAGAAGGCCAACCAGAAAGATAAATGGAGGAGGGGGATATCTGCAGCAATTAAACTCAGGGGCTCAGAATGCCGAAGAAAAAGAAGACAATTAAATATTGTGGACATGAATGCAAAGTAACTGAACAATCGAGAGTTCATGTTTAAAAAACATGCAGGATTACCAACGACTTATAGATGTATTATGATTAATACGTCCATGCTGGAACCACAGAATTGTGTTGTTCATGGGGACCGAATGTTTATCTTAAGTGAGTCTGTGTTAATGAAGTTTTATTGTAAAACTGCTTAACACTGTTTGTACAACACAACTCACCACACATTCTTTAAGTTGTCCATAGACTACACCTTTTTGGACTTTCTTCAATGTTAATAGCTAGTTTGGGTTCTTTTGTCTCATAGTGATATTATTATAAGTGATGTTTTTTGTTTTTTTAAGGTGGGGTGGGATGAAGCCCTGATTTCCTGAAGCTAGAACATTAGAATCAGAAAAGGGGAAGATAATTAATTTTGTATGACTTAGAAAATTGATTGTATTCAATTATTCTTAATTATTTAATTTGTATCTGTCATACAGTTATTTATAATTACTATTTATGTCTTGGAGGCTGCCTTGATGTAGCGGCTAGACACTTGCCTGCTGATCCAAAGGTCATGGTTTCAAATTCACATGAAACCTGACATTTTGTTTTTCAAACATTACCTTGCTCCCAGCTTGTCCAGCCTCTAATAGATACCAGGTAAAGTCCTGGAAAGTAAAGGTGGCTGGCATGATGTTGACCACATCACCTATTGAGAGCCAGTAAGTCTGCAAAAGCATTTGTTCATATGCCTCATATGCCTGATGCATCACTGGGGTGTAAAGGGACCGTTGCTTTACCTACTATTTTAGTTTTTCTATTTATTTGCTTGCGCGCCAGCACTTTCTTTCTTTTGTTCTTTGTGTTCTTTTATTATTTTTTAGAGTGTTTCTTTCTACATCTGTGTAAGCCTGCTTCCTTTAAATATTTAACTGACTTTTTAATCATATTTTCAGTAATTTTGTTTACTTGTTATCCCTAACCTATCATTGTTATGATTGCTTTCTTACTTTTACCCATAATTGTATCCCAGCATGGTAAAGAAACAGACTACAGCCAATACTGTAAGAGGTAACATTTACCTGCTGTGGTTTCACCTTGGGCATGAGGAGGTCAACATTTCTGGTGGTTCCAGGTTGTGGAGCTGCTTTCACATAACTTATGACCAGCAGTGAGCAAAGAGTCAGTGATAGCCACATCTTGTTTTCCTGTTATAAATAACACAAGTAGGTGTCTCTTTACTTGACTGAGAACATGGGTATGCCTGATCCCATTCCATGTGGTAATCATGTGTCTGTGTATGGCCATATAGGAATGTATGTCAAAAAAGAATGACAGTATGGGAGCTGACTGGTTTTTTTTTTTTTTTTTTTTGATGTAACAACTATTTAGGAATGGTTGTAACATCTGTTGCAAGATGCCTTGCAGTAATTAGAACTAAGAAACCCCATGACAAAGGTGGCTTTACGCCAGATGTAAATAAGAAAAAAGGAATGTACAAAAGGATGTTAATGCAAACCCCAGGAAGACATAGCAAGAGTAATAAAACAAAGATGTTAAGATAAAGAGAGTAGGGAGAGAGACAAATAAACACAGAGTGGAAAAAGATAAATAAACAAGCAAAAGGTATACAGTGAAAACTACTCATATAACCTTGTTATGCAATGTAAGATAAGATGAGCTTGAGGTATATATGAGTAGCTAAATATAGAAGACAGGCAGGGAAGGATAACAGAGAGAGATAGAAGGCAGAGAGATGAAGATGAAAGAAAGATAATAAAAAGAGGGAACAAGGAGAGGTGCAGCAGGCAGAGAGGGGAAGGTAGCCAGAAGTGCATTTAGTGAGAGGGAAGAGGCAGTTGCTGAGGGGAACAGTGAGAAGGGAAGATGGACCCCAAAACAAAAGGAAAAGCAGTCAGAAATAAAAAGGTGAGAGATGCAGGGAAATGAGATAGGAAGAAAGAGCCAGAGGAGAGAGAGACAGGAGGCAGACAAGCAGAATGAGCCAAGTAAAGGGAGAAGTGTATACTTGATACTTCTAGCTTTACCATAATGGAAATGTGTATAGAAATAATTGCAGTCATTATTTATTCACTGGGCCTAAGGTAGTACTGGAATGTAGGTCACAGAAAAACAGTTCTGTAATTTACAGAGAAAACTACCAGCTTCTATGCCAGCTGTACCATGTATTAATAACATGGCTCTAATTGCAGACATAATCATATTTGTAATTATGTGTTACAGAAAAGACTTGACAATTGATAATGATAATAGTGTTTTAAACAGACTTGGTCACAACACACAAAATATTGTAGTAGAAATTGTAATTTAACTATAGACATACTTGTACATTGGCATTGTTTATTTCGTTTTATAATACAATTATTAGTTAATCACCGATTATCCTCAATGCACACTGGAGAAGTCCATAAGCACTCAGATCACATCTTCAGTATCTGCCTCAGCATGTGGCCACTGATAACACCAGCTCTGTGTTGGTTTGTTATTCTTCTTTGGCTACCTGTATAGTGTTTATGTCTGGCAACACGTCTTTTAACATGAAGTTCTTTTAGTTATGTCAAGAATGCTGATTCACTGTTGTCTCCTGAATCATCTGCTCATTCTACATTTTCAACAGCATTGAGAACATCGTTCTGGTCTATTGCTTTTCCTGTGCTTACATCGGCCCTGCCAGCAAGCTAGCCTGCTTGTTCATCCCTCTTATCCCAAAGTGACCTGGCATTACAATTAAACTGATTCTTGTCAGATAAGATTTCATCAGACTCCAACCATTGTCTTCAAACCCATCCTGCCTCGATCATTTTAAAAAGCTATAAGAGAATTGATGACCATATAGACATAAAGTAATGTAACAGATTGCTACATAGTGAAGAATCATCATTCAATGTCATGCCATGAAACTGCCCTGCCTGCTGGACTCAACAAGTGTCACGTGTTCAGTGTCAGGTCATGAAACAGCACACGGAACTGAAAAAGCTCCCATGTGGGTTCCGGGGTCCCTTGTGGGGGGAAAAAGAATAGACCCATTGTCCCCCCAAAATAAGCATGTCATAAAAGTAAACTAATTAGGGGAGTTTCCTTTGAAGTCATAGTTCATCTGCATGAAAGGTGACGAACCAACAGTCTACCTACAAATAGGCCAGACCTGTAAAACAGATGTACATGTCACCCCCGTGTGGGTTCCGGAGCCCCATTGTCGGGAAAACAAGAATAGACCCACTGCCTCCCCAAAAGCATGTCGTAAGAGTCGACTAATTGGGGAGCTTCCTTTGAAGTCAGAGTGCATCTGCCGGAGAGGCAAGGAACCAACAGTCTGTATTCAAAAGAATGAGATCTGTAAAACTGATGCACATGCAACACTCAGGTTCTGGAACAGGACTGCAGTTCAGTAGTGGACGAGCAACCAGAACTTTCCGCCAGAGTATACAGCTGGTGAACGCGAAGAAGAAGAAGAAGATGTACATGTAAAACTCAAGTTCTATAACAAGATCAAAATCCAGGAGTGGATGGACAACTAGAACTTTCTGCTGGAGTTTACCGCCGGTAAAGGCTAAGAGGAAAATGAAGAACTGAAAAAGTAATATCCATAGTACCAATCCTATGTTGCTTAACAAGACTTTGTGTGCGTCCGGTTTGCTTCTCATGCTTGGCTGTGCCGATCTTTACTTCCTATTCGCATATTTTTTACAGTGATGTGGACACGTTGCTTCCAAAATCCTTGTAACATCCTATCTCTTTAAGGCCAATGACAATGTTTGCGTGATCCATGGGCCGGTCATCTTTAATTAATGCAGCACCTGCCAGTCTATCAGCTCTCTCATTACCAACAACACCTGCATGACCTGGGACAAATATCATAGTAACTGCACACACAGGAGAATTTGCACCGACTCAAGCCACTGTCTGCGTAATCAGCCTGCCTCGACCGGCCGGATCATGTTCAAAGAATCACTTAGCACACACACGCAAGAATAGTCCTGTCATGAAAGCCTGTGTCACTGCCTATAGGATTATTGTACTGATCAAAGAAAAAGTGTGTGAGAACTCCAAAACATGAACCACACAAACTGGCATTTATACCTATAACACTGCAAGGTACAAGGAAGCCAGATGTGGCGAAAATTTCCTTTCTCTGGAATGCACAATGCAAAAGAATTAGAAAATGCCCTAAAACACACACTGTGGCAAGAATTTGATATAGTGCTGCATGGGGAGTCTTTAGATGACTAAAGATAGCAGTACTTGTTTGAGAATTTATGTTCTACTGAAGATTACATACGTATAATACATGTTATTTATGGCATCAACACCATTAAAAGTCTATAGTTGAGAACAACCAAGGAAATCAAAGTCAAAGGTTGGAGAGCATGCATCTTTCCTGAAGCAACTCATGGATGTGACATGTAGACTATCTTGCAGTGATAAAAAAAAATTGGGGCTTTTGAGCTGAAATGCTGTGGGGAAAAAATGTGCAAAACATCATGGACAAGAAGGAAAGAACTACTGACATCCTAAAAAATCTGAATATCAAAGGAGTTTGGCTAATAAACAGCATGTTGTCTCGGAAACTAAAATATATTGGCCATATGCTGGAATGTTTTGGCCATTTGAAGTGCCACAGCGTAATAGCAGGGGGCATGGTACCGGACAGAGGGGCAGAGGCCACCCAACACGATGAAGGCCTTGAGATATACGTGACACATCGGGTGGGAAAGTGCACGAGGCGGGTCAGCTGGCGAAAGACCAAGTTTCAAGCAACCTGTGATGAAAGTTACTTTCTGCAAAAGACCTGTCACATGATGATGATGAAGATGAGTGTTGATGATGATGATGATGATAATGATGGTGATGATGAAAATGAAGATGATGATGATGAATGCAAGGCTGAAGAATAAAATAATTCTAAAATGGCAACATCATAGAGTTTAAAACCAGATGGACCGAACACGAAAATGCTAATGAGATGCAATTACCAGCTGTATCATTGATTTTTAAGATCACAAAAAAGACTTGTCGTGTTATATTGCTTTTGACACAATCATCTTAAGTAGAGAACTGGTGTTCAGGTTATTTACTGGCTTCATAGTCCCATGAAATATTTTGTTTCTTATGAATCTTATTGTGATGCTGATATTAACGATACACATACAGTAAGTACATTTTACACATAACGTACAGTATACAAAAGTGTCCTCCCTAAGGTCGACACTTAACACATAACTACAGTTCTGAGAATAATTATATTAACGGATTACCTTTTCTGACAATATCTCAGTCCATGAAAAAATAATCTATTCTTTGAATGAACACGGGACTTCTGGCTTCTAATACTGGTCACCGCCTACGTCAATACTAGCCTTAGTGACGTCAAGTGAAGAATGGATGGAACCAAGTCCTGGCTGAGCACAGAAATTCACGTGCCGCCAGTTTTGTATGGTGTACCAGTTAATCTTCTTTTTGACATAGCCACAAAAAAATATTGCTTGGCAAGCATAAACACCGTCCCTAGTATAAAAGCAGGTTCAAGTTGTAGTATTTAGATACAATTCCCAGTTTCGTCCTTTTTAGGCAGGCCATACATATGGCCAGATGTCTGAACGCGGTTTCTGGGACCTCTCCACGGCGATCCTCATCCGCATGGTGGCACTTTGTGTCATCGGGTGTTTATCGCTTGTGTGATGTCCTGGTGGGGTAGAAAGTCAGTCAGTCAGTAGTATTTAGATGTTATAATTTCTAAAATGTTTAGAAGTAACTTTCATTAACAGTTTGTCGATTAGCTGGGGTTTTTTTTCCCAAGCACACAGACAAGAGAAGTATTGAAGCTCCGGCTTTTAATTTGTAAAAGTAAAGTAAGTTAAGGACCCTTGTCGACGCCTTTAGGCTTATATGGCATAAAGGGCTAGACCTATATTTTTATAGACCAATCGGCACAAGATGGGTGATGTGGTCAACATCACGCCGGCCACCGTTACTTCCCTGAACTGCACCTGGTACCCACTCAAGGCTGGGTCGACCTGGGAGCCAAGATCATTTTTGAAAAAAAGTCCGACTCACGACGACTTTTAATTTGTTTCAACATTAAAATATTAGAGGTACTAAAGCAGTGTCCTATATATCTAATATAATCCTTATTATTAGAATAGTATACTTTATTGGAAGCGACTAATTTTTAGGGATT